GGGACTTGCCTTTTAGTCCAAGGAGCAGTGATCCCTAGGAGGGGAGGTTCAGCCTCTCCAAGCAGCTCAGGTGGTGGAAAAGTGTAGTAAGGTGGGACCAACGTACTCTCCTTCAGTCCCCACTGCCAGCAAGGTGACTTTTCTAGTGGCAGCTGCTCAGCAGGCTTCTGAGCCCTGCTCTTTGATCACCACAGTGCTTCAGGACAGCCTGAATTATGGAAGAGCCTAAGACATTACTAGTGTGGTATGCAAGGGAGTGCTAGGGGGGACAGCGGAAAGAGAAAGAACAGCCTCTGTTCTCCAAGAAACTGCCCAGTGTCTCAGAGTAACCAGTGTGTAGGTGGGAGTCCTGCATAAGGACATCTGGGGGAATAGACTAAGACAGTTGCCATCTCCTCCTGCTGTTTCTGAAAATAAAAACCTAACGTTTTGGGATATACAATCATCATTTCATCAACCAGGTTCTGACCATCAGCATTAAAGAGAGTAGGAGAGAAGCAGCAGAGGAATGCAGGTTGCTTGAGGCACTTTTCCTCATCATCTCCTGTTGCTCCTCTCCGTGCATTGCTGGAGTTTTGTTCTTCCTCCACGGCTAAATAGCAAAACAGAAAGCTCCCCATGGTTAAGAGAAGTATACTCATGATGGCTTTCAGACACACCCAAATGCCTCCAGCCCCCTTCCTCCCAGCCTGAGCAGCTGGGGAAGATGAGCTTTATTGTCTGTGGGAGCTCTGGGCAGGTGCTAGAGAAGTGGGAAGAAAATCCAGGCCAGAATGCCATAAAGTCACTTCACAATGAAAATTGACCATGACCAGACACCCCTCCCACCCCCATTTTTAACTCTCTCTGAAGGATTTTGTCTGTCATTTAGCAGCAAAACTGACACCAAATGCAAAGTTTGGCACAATCAGTGCTGCCTGCAGCTGGAATAGGAGAATGGTCAGGCAAACAATGACATTGCTGCTGCTGTATAACCCAGGATTTCAGAACGGGACTTCTCAAATCTCCTAGAACTTCCCAGCATCATGCCTAGGCTCAGATGGGTATAGTGGGTGTGAAGCTGAGATGTTGGGCAGGGAGTTGTGCTTTTCCATATCCACTATTTGGAGTGCTTGTAACTGCTGACACCATCCAGGATGAGAGGATTCTTGCATACTTGGTAGTACTCAAACTTCACTTTGGGGAGGACCTCTCACACATCCCAGAGGGCCATTCAGCCCCTCATGCTCACCCAAATTCGAGCATGGTTATTACCTGAGGGATATGGCAGAAAGGAGGAATGCTGCCAAACTCACGCCTCCTTTTCCCAGTGCTGCACAGGGCACAGCTTGGGATCCTCTGGGTAGAAAGTATGCATTGCAAAGACTTCATGTACATGTGAATAAGTCTGCAAAATGTGTGTGGGACACGAACTTAAAACCTACTGGGCTCTTTGCTCATGCTCTCAGCCAACTCTGACAGCCCAAAGTTCCTGCTCTACCTCAGGGACGACATGATCCGTTATGTCCAGTTCTTCCAAGGCAGTTTCTACCCTCCATGTCTCCAGGCAGCTGTTGAAGCTAAATTACATGCTATAGAGATAGAGGCTGACACAAAGGCAAGGGCTCTGGCTGGCCAAGACTTCGAGCAATATGAATTTAAAGGCGGGAGGAGGGGCTGTGCTCTTAGATTACAGATGCCTCTGTCCCAAGGTCCTGAGCCAAGAGGATTGTCAAGATTGGAAACATTATCTGCATTCAAATCCCACTAGCATTATGGAATCAAAAAATACTGTAAGGGGATATATAAATGCTTGATACTGTAATGAGTAGGGGGCAGTTGGCCAAACTGCTGTGCCTCTGGCATACTCCATATTTTGCTGCCTTTTGGGGTTCAAATATAGGTGTGGGAATATATCGTCACCTATGCAAGGGTTAGACTCACCTGCTGCAGTGGAAAGCAGGGAAAGCAAGGCCAGAAGCAATGCCCAGCCCCTGTGTAGCTTGCACTTGCAAAAGCCACCATAAACACCCTGCAAAGTTTCCTGCCCCCAGGCTCTGCCACGGTGGGAAGGGCTCCCAAAAGTCTCATGTTGCACAAAGACCTCCCTGTTGTGAGACCCTGCTGTGGAGAGGAGCTCAGGCTGTACTGTTCTCCTCGTTGTCTCATTGGCATGAAGATCTCCTCAGAGGAGGCAGGCTGCCCACTGAGCTCCCAGCTGCATCCCCTCAGGCACACTCACACACCATACACAAGCGCTCTCCTATATTCCCAAACTGTTGCACATCTCTGTTCCTCTTCAGAGGAACACCTCCAAACACTCACACCCACCATACATACACTCCAGGAAACAGTTTTGTTTGGACACAGTCACGCAAGCCCTGCCTCACCAACAGGCACATCTCCAGCATTATTTGGACCATTTTTGACTATTGAGCACTCCCATAGAATCAGATAGAGTCTTTCATCACATCACCCACATTTTCTTGACACTTTTTCTCTTTTCCAGCAAGCTTCCATGCTCAGAGCTATGGAGCTGCACCCACACCCCTCCAAAGGTTTATCTTATGTGTGCTGCATGCTGACATACATGACTTGTGATCAATGCCTCCTCTCTTGCACACATCCCTGCTCACATCCAACCACTTGTCTGTAGCAGGTGTTTCAGCTTTTCTGCATATTTCTGACCTTCAAACACCTGCAAGAAACTCTAACCATCTCCTGTGTGCAGGAGTCAAGAACTACTGGGTTTAAACTACCCTGACTTTTGTCTGGCACATGGCTGACATAACTGTAAGTAACTAAATCAAGTATGGACTGGACTGGACTGGACATGACTGAACAAGTTCCCTTGACCATGCTGTGTTTTTCTCAGGTCTCAAGTGGTAAGATTCTCAGGAACCTCTTGCTGGTGTACACAACTACCAACAAGCAGGGACGTGCTGACAATGTCCCAAAAAGTTGATGATCCTACAGGATCCATCCTTCTGTCCAGTCAGGGAAGATCTCCATAATGGGAAACAAAATCTCTTCTCTTACCACCACTCACTTGTGGCAGATGTCTAGAGAGCTCACAAGAGATGTCCATCTCTCATTGCAAATACGGGGCTCCAGCTGCTCTCAGGTGCTCTGAGGTGGCCTGAGCCACCAGATGGGATGCCAAACCAGATCAATGCCTTATCAGCCTAATCAATGGATATACAAACGCAAACCCGTGATCTGTCCCTTTCAGACAGCGTCCATTGCAAGCACAAGCCCTGAATGTGCAGCCTTCCCTTCATTTCAAAGCACTGGCAAAGAGCAAGGAAAGAGCATTGACACCCCTGTTTCCTGTGTAACACAGACACCCCTTTTGCCTCCCATGGTGGCATTTGCCCCTAAAGACAGGCCAGTTGGCTGCAGGGCCATCAAGGCTGCAGCAATGCTGTGGTGGTTGGTAGAATGTTTTTCCTCCTGGAGAGCTGTGGGACAGGTCTGAAGATGTGTGATCGGTGGAAGGGAGAAAACACCTACATTCTCCATCTCTCCCTTTTGCTCAAGCAAGGTCCCTGATCACCAGGGTGCCTGCCACCATCCCCCCTCAAGCAAGGTCCCTGATCACCAGGGTGCCTGCCACCATCCCCCTGAATTTCAGGAGCTGGCTGTGTGCTGACAGGGAGCTGGCTGGCCCCATGACACCCTGTTGTACAGGCGAGATGGCTGCCCCACCACTTTTTCTCCCCAATGCCTCTAATCACTGCTCACTCTCACAGAGGCCTGGCACAGGCAGGAGCTGCTGGGTGACATTCAAACTGGCTTTGAGTCTGGGGGAGGGAGCCAAAATGAGCCGGGGCAAGGGGGAGCTTCCTCATAAATCAACCCACCATCTCTCTGGCCATGGCATTCTTCTGCCCTCCTCCAGCCTTCTGTTGTCAAGCACTGACAGCTGTGCCCTAATAGGGACATTCCTGCCCCAGAGGCTCATGACCCCTCATCTCCATCATCCCCCGCCATCCGGCAGGGCTGGGAGGAGGAACAGCAAGAAGACCATCAGCATCAGAGGCATTTGTGCAGCAGGAAGGGAGAGGGAGGAGGCTCTTACAGCTGCTCGGTGGTTCTCAGAGCATCATTACTCCCTTGTAGGGTCTCTAGTATGCTTGTGGTGGGGCTGTCAGTCACACAGTGCGTAAGTGGATTCATTTAACCAGGGTCACTGCCTCTCTAGGAACCAATTTGGAATTCACAGGGTCTCACGCGGGGTTGCTCTCACCACGGGGCCCTTTCAGAGCATCTCTGCTTTCCTCACATATCTATTTTCACAAAACAGGCAGGAACTCGATATCTTCAAGAGGCCCCTTCGTCAAAGATGGTGGGAACAGGGTGCAGTGGTTTTGCAAAGCTGTGAGAAGATGAACACAAGCATGGCTGGGCTTAGATGCATCTCCTAAGTAAAAACAGGGGACCAGGATCTGGGGGTTTACTGAAGCCTGGACAGGAGGCATGCCTTCAAGCACTTCATAGGAAAAGGAGCCTGCTTTGGCCACCCCATCACATGCATGAAGAAAACATGATGCTATAGAGTCCTGCACTTACTGCTGCCTGGCACCAAGCACTTCTGGAGTTAAAATGTCCATGGCACCCACATCACACCCCTCTGCAGGAGGCCACCAAGGCACCACAGAAGAAACAGGCTGTGCTTTGTGTTGGTGGCACAGGACTTTCTTCCAGCCATTCCCCCTGCTTTGGTGTCCCCAGTTCACTCAGGAGCCCTCTCCTGAGGCTGGTGTCAAACAGCAGTGAACAGCACATGGTAGTGCCAGCAAACTCCCTGCTGCAGCACAATGGGAAGAAACCCAACCCTTGTGACCTCTGGGTTATCTCAGCAGAGAGGCAGCATGTGACACATCCCACCCATTGGTGCTGTTCAGCAGCAGGATATGGGTCACTTGTGTCTGTCATGTCGTGCTAGCAGGGCATGATGCCCTTTAGCTACCCTGTGGTGTTAACACTACTAATGTTGGGCTCTCTGCTTCCTCCCACAGCTGGCAGCTCAGGTCCTGGAGCCCAGGAGCATTGGCTTTGGGATGGTGGACTCCAAGAAGGATGCCAAGCTTGCCAAGAAGTTAGGTGAGTCCCAGGTCTGACATCTCTGGAATAGCTTGGAGAGACTGTGGGAGTGATGTCCAACAGGCAGCCCCATAGAGGACAGCCAAATCCTTGTTACCAGGATGATGGTGGCACTTGCACAGTGACCACCTACCCC